CTTTAACATCAGTATCGATATCGCTTATCGGCTACATGAGTTTTAAAATATCGGCATATCGGATATCGGCCAAAATCCCAATATCGTGCATCCCTAGCAATTTTATTTCAATTTTCCTCTGCAGTTAGCAGCACATTCAACTTAAAGAATTGGTGTCTTTGTCTCGTTAAATACAACCTTACCTAAAAACAGGAACCTCTGGGAATTGGAAATTGCCTTTAAAAAAAATTCAGTCATATTGCAAATGTAGCCGTTTTCTGAAGACTTATGCAGCTTCAGACTGACTGTTTTGATTTTTAAAGATAGATTTTTAGCTCCGTTGATCTTCCCATTACCTCCAACTTAGTCTTGCTGATAAAAAGCACCGCCATATCGCTATACCGTCATATTTAATCAAATTGTGTTTAAAGTACAGGGTTAGTTTTCCATTGCATTGACTTTTACATGCTTGATTTGAACTCTTAAGGACACGTGACAAAGTTTAAAATTAACCTTTTTCAACTTTCTCTCAGTTTAATGGCTGTCCTGATAATATATACTCTAATCTGAGCTGATTCCTCCAGGGCTTCTATAGGCCTCTTGGTGATGATTGCTCTCTCTGTCAGTCCTATCAGTTCAGAGTCATAATCTTGATAGATATGCAGCTGAGAGCTCATGATGTTGTTTTGTGCAGAAATGACTTCTGAGATCTTCCCTGACAGAGTTGTCTTTTGTTCTCCTGCAGAGGACGAGCCGTGTAAAGAGAAGGAGGCCGTCAGCACACAGGCCGAGTCTAAACATGTGGACCTTGTGGCGTCACCTCTGCCTGTCAGAGCCAACCACAATGCTTGGGCCGACGACGCTCAGCGCCAGCAGCCGCATCTCCCTCCTGCCCCGCCGCCCCATGCCCTCCCACCTTCACAAGTTCCCATTGCCGTCATCCCAATGGTCCCAGTCGTCAATGCGACGCCATCTGTCCCCCCCCTTCCACTTATGACGCCGATTGCAGCGGCTGCAACGTCGCTCAGCAGCCCCCTGCCTGTCAAGCAGGAGAGCATCTCCCCCTCTCCGGAGCAAAAGCCGCCGCCAACCTCTCATCACCTGTTGTGCTCCCCCCAGATCAAAATGGAATCCGTCCAGCAGCAAATGGACATAAAGCCCACTCTGTCACAGCCTCAGGTACAGATTCAATACCCAGCCTCTCATCACCTGTTGTGCTCCTCCCAAATCAAAATGGAACCCGTCCAGGAGCAAATGGACATAAAGCCCACTCTGTCACAGCCTCAGGTACAGATTCAATACCCAGCCTCTGTTAATACCAACGGCTCTGGCTCCCATCATGCACTGGTTCCCCATCACGCTCTACCCACGCCTCAGCCCCGCCCTAACGGAGTGACAATAGAGGATATGAGGGGGATGGAGGTGAAGAGGAGACCTGGAGGGTGAGTTTATGTCTCTGAACGCTGTAACTTGTTTAACTTCTGGAGTCGGTTCATGTTTAGATTTCATCATTTACATTTTTTGCAGAGCGGGAACCAGAGAAGTGCATAATAAGCTGGAGAAGAACAGGTGAGTCTAGATATAGATTTCTGCTGCAGCTGGTTTGAAATCTTCAAGAGTTAAGCTTGACTATTGCTTCCAGGCATAGAATGGTGTTCGGGAAAATTACAAATTTTACTGGGGCTGACAAATGATCTCTATTTATTCACTGAACTGCTGATTGCCCGTTGATAGTACGGGGTTGAAGTGAAGCCACCGGCCGCCATATTGGTGCTCCCTAGTTAGACCGGTCCCAATATTAACAATGCGTGCGCTACAGCATCCAACAAAGATGATGTTCTCATATTAAGACTTTTAAAATAAAGATAAATTCATCACTTTGATACACACAGGTGTTTCATAGCATCAGTAAATTACTTTAACTTATAATAAGAAAAGAGGCACATCACATTGAAGTCAATGAAGTCTTTAAATCATGTAATATAACATATAAAAATCAATCACAACAAAATGAATGTGTTAATGGAGCATAATAATACTGAAGTGCCAAAAGTGCTAAATTGATGACGTACATGTAATATACATGTATTGATGACATTATTGTTGTTATAACATATTACATATAATTTCAAAATTTTACAACAAAATTGAAATACAAGTACCGTATTTTCGCGACTATAAGGCGCATATAAACGTCTTTTTTGTCCCTCAAAATGTGCGGCGCGCCCTATGTGTGTTGTTACTGCGGACGTTGTTGAGACCGCCATGAGAACGTCAAAGGGGGAAGTGT